GATCTGTGTGTTTTCAATGAGAGAGGAGCATCAAGAGGAAACACACACCAACTATAACTTTCTTTCTACTACCACACCTCTGTGTCAGAACTATGGCACAACACAACAATTTTGAAAGCTTAATTAGGATAAAACACCTACTTAGAGCCGCCACCAGATGTTTCCAGCAAGATCCTGTTCCAAGTACTCAGTAACTGTCATTAGGCAGTTCTAGAATATTTATAACAAATGGGCTCCATTTAAACAGCACGTTTATGGACAAACCACTTTACGGAACAATCGTATTGTCTCTTCCCCCTCTCTCTCTCTCTCTCTCTCTCTCTCTCTCTCTGTCATTGGCAGCCCACTCAGACCCCGGGTGAAGATGACCCTTTCCGGGGGCGAGCCAGAAACCCAGAGGAGTCATAACTGAAGAGACAAACGCTGGGCTGCGTTCATCTCAGGAAGCACCTCTGCTCCTTCTTCTGCCTCTCTTCTTTTCCCTCCAGCCAGCTCTCTGGAGAGCGAGGAGGAGGTCCGGTGGACATTGTCTTAGTGAGAAGGTGGATTTCTCCTCACCGCAGCTTTAAAGTGAGTTTGCAACTAGTTCTTTTGTTACATGGGTGCTCGTCCTTTTTAGTTTGTAGTGCAAATCATATCGAGTCAGAAAGATGGAAATGTTTCCAGACTCGATTCTTGTGCTTGTTGGTGTTTCTGTGTCTTCAGATGATCAACTTTTACATGTCTTTTTTCTTGTTTCTTTAATCATTTACTAATTAAACATGTTTAGTGCTAAAATACCTGGAATTTTCTGAAACTATTGCAAGAAATGTGGTGGCAGGATTATTAAAGGTTTTCTTCTCAGCTCGTCAGCTTTCATACCCAGTCTTTATAAAATGTGGTGTTTGTACAGTTTATGTCGCTGTTGTGTGTTTTCTGGGTGAAATATACAAGGAGCTTGTATTGTTTCCACGTGCCATGGTCCTCAGGATTGAAGCTTGATGCAAACTCTGATTTCTGACGATGTCTGGAGTCAACAAAAGGCCCAAAGCAGCTGTTAGTTTTGAGCCTTTCATCATGTTGTAAGATTTGTATGGTGAGCTCTAGATATCTGGTTCACTGCAGAGCCAGAACAATTAGTCCACGCAGAGGAAACTCAGACTGAGTCAACATTCTGTGGTTCTAGCTGTGAGGACTGCGCTGCTTTTCTTTGTCTTGACAGCAAACTAAATATCTTTGGGCTTCGGACTGTTGGTGACAGAACGAGCCGTTTAAGGTGTCACCGCGATCTCAGGACACACGTGATCCAGATTTCTTTTTTTGCCTCTTTCTGGCATAAAGTAACAAAAGGATGAACGGATTAAATGAGAACCCCAGACACAGAGACATAAATAATGGAAACAACTTTGCAGCCTGATCTGATTGTGGATCAGCGACTGAATTTGGAGATGTTGTGTGTAAATAACTTGAACTGATGCATCCGTACTGAAATCTCCTGACTGAAGCTCATTACTGACGTCGAACAGCGGTGTCGAACTGGACTTGAAAAACAAAATTGTGACAACACATAACTGCACTTGTGCAGTATTTTTGTAGCTGCAGCCTAATTTTTATTTTGCCAACACTTCCTTTGTTTTTCAGCCTTTCTTGACAAATTAGCAAACAGTTCTGAGAGTTTTCTGTCATTTTCCTGCTGGAACACAAGAACCGATGAGCAGCTACACTCACAGATTATTATCTGTCCAGTTTCATTTGTGTTTTGCAGCTTGACAGTGAATTTGACTGAATGGTTTGAACATGTTCTTAAACCTTGTTGTTCTTGGACGAGGAGTCATCTCCCAGTCATGTGCCTCAACACAACAGGACTTACTCTGTCTGTGGTGTCGTGGCTTTGAAAACAGTATAAAAGTGATGTGAGACCCGGATCCTTCGACGAGCTAATTACCCTCCTGAGAAATCAGCTGACAAGCAGCGGAGGAGCCCACAGTGCATGCTGGGTCCCAGAGATAGTGTCGAAGCCATTCACCGCAGCTCTGCGCTCATTGATGTGTCTGTCTATTATTCGGCATTCAGCAGTCGATACGTTCGCCATGAATATGCAATCGCTTCTATTGATGGCGTGGTTAGTGGCCTCAGAGCCGAAACCTCCCAAAGCTCCGACTCATCAGTATGTTCCTGAGGAATTTAATGCCAATCCCAGAAATCTGAAAAACACTTTAATAAAAGCATAAGAGCCTATCAGAGCAGCCTGTTGTCTGTTAGTCTAACCCAGGCCTGGAGGTTCCCTTCACCACATTTAACAACTGCTGCTTTTACTACACAGTATTTGTACTTTAAAGCTTTCACCAGTCATTTACTTGCATTATTTCATAACCTACCTGTTAAATTCAACCCAAATCTCCCTCCCTCACTGCAGGACAAACAGAAGCAGTGTTTCCATCTAAAATGATTCATGTTTATCCATGAACACCTACTGCTCTGACTCGAACAGCCCCAGAACATTCAGAATGTCGCCTGCTGTAAAAGTGCTTCAACCAGACTGAGATCATCCAAAGTTACAAACGGCTGACTGTCACAAAAAACACATGAAAGGCAAAATAAAGATGGAGCTCTAGTGGCTGATGTGGAGAAACTGGGCTGCTACAGCAGTAAAGTAGGAGTTGTTAAAGAAACTGGGGGAGATTTAGGCGTGAAACATTTAGAACTGAAGTAAATTAAGGCAGCAAACATGAGATGAACAAAGCTGAGGACCACAGACAGACGGACGTCCCTGTAGACATCCTGATCAGCTCCTGTCTGACGTGCAGATGACTGTGCAAAGCAGCGAGCAGCAGTTAGCAGGAGATGAACAGAGCTGTGTGTGAAAGACGTGATCAAGGCACAGATCTCATCATCATTACCTGATGAAAAACATTTTGTTCATGCTGCTGTAAATCTGACGTCACAGAAGTGACGTATCGGCATGAAAGTTCAGAGGTCAGGAGTTCTGCCTGAACAGCAGATGACCACAAAAACCCAGAGAGAGAAAGCCACAGGAAGTCGGGCTGTGTTTGTTGTTTGTCGGTGACATTCGGTTCCAAATATGGAAAAGAGGGTGGCAGGCGGTGAAGCGGAGCCGATCGAGCATCGCTTGAGGACGAAGACAAAGATCCATATTAACAAAAACCGCAGATGACAGATGATTAATCGGCGTGGTGGGGTCTGCCGAGGCGCCGGACCCCTGGCTGACACCCCGAGCCACCAAACACAAAACCAAAAACCCCCAGAGCCTCAGCGGCCTGGAGGAGCGTGGGCGAAGGGTGGAAGCAGGGCACCGTCCCCACGGAGCTCTGTGTGTGTGTGTGTGTGTGTGTGTGTGTGTGTGTGTGTGTGTGTGTGTGTTACACAGGCTCACCAAGAGCATCAGCATGTTTGTGTGTGAATTTGTGTGCGTGCATGTGTGTGGGAGTGTTTGTGAGTTAAAGCATACACCAACATTTTTGTAGCTGTGGGCGTTGAAAAGACTGGAGAGCCGCGGTCCTCCTGCTCGCTGTGCTCGTCTCCACAGCTCCGCTCTCCAGCAGAAGGCTTCGGCTTCAGCAGGCTGCTAATTCGCTCAGTCACAAACCGAAGCGGCACAGCTTCAATCTGCTCTGTTTACACTGCAGGTACACAGGATTCCTCCACCCTGACTGTCTGTCAAACCACAGAACTCACCGGGTGGCTGAGATGAAAACAGCTGATCCTCTGAGCATGTGTCTGATGCATAAAGAGAAACTCTGGCCTGAGGGTTTTGTCAGAACAAAGGTCCAGAGTCATAAAACACATCTGTAAGATCCGTCCTGAGAGGCCTGATGTCTGCAGGAGATTTAGTAGAACTATGGTCGGTACCCACTGAGATATGTCACAGGGGAACTCCACCACGTTCACACATCAGTGTGTTTCCAGCTGTTGGCAGTGGTGGGAAACACATTTACTCTAATACTGAGGTACTTCACTGGAGTATTTCCATTTTATGCCACTTAGTGCTCCAGTGCATTTCAGAGGGACATTGTACCTGTAACTGCACCACAGCTGAACGCGGCACTTTACAAATGAATGGTGGTGCTGACAAAGCAGATGGAGAGGTTTTACCATGTGGTGCTTTGTTAAAGATTACTCAACGGTAAATATAAGGCTGACAGAAAACTAATACTTTAAGTCTTTTTCATGTAAAAATGCAAAATGCTCTTCAAAGCTGAGGAATTACTTCTTTTACACTTAACGACTTAATTAACTTTGAGGTTTGGACCAAAAAAGTAATTCATGAGTATTAATATATAGTTAGTATTAATATATGTATAAGACTCTTGTTTCTGTATGGAATACTTTATTCTTACACAGCTGTACTTATGCAATGTTTCGATGCAGGACTTTTACATGTTTACAGAATAGTATTAGTACTTATGTAAACGATAGCTGATGCTGATAAGACATAATGTGTCTGTTAAGTCTCTATTCACCCTCCAGAACACAAATAGAAAAAGGAGAGTGATCTACTCAACCGTGGCAATATTTAAAAATGTTTCTTAAATCAGTGTTGATGTTGGAGATCTCCCAGCTGGTCCAGCTGTTTCTAACAGCACTGGTGTACACCTTCATCAGGGAGGAAATTATAATTGTAATAAGGCAAAAGTGTTTAATTCTCTCTCATCCACTTCAACCACCAAACTCTCAGGGAAATGAATGAAATGTCTATTGTCTCACTAATCACCCCATCCCTCTCAAAGGGGCCAACGAAAGCAAATATCTGTTCCTGACAACGCAAGAGAGAAAACAAACGGGTCTGTGCAGTCAGTGTGTGGGCTCAGCTGGCACAAAGACAAGACAATGTAACCGAATTATCCGGATACCAGCCATATTAAGCAGACAGAGATCCTCTCACCTCACCGGAGAGTCCATTTATGGAGAGACTGTGACCGGAATTCCGAAAGATGGAGCTCGTTTTCCTCTTTCTTTCTTCCTTTGCATGAGACGAAATCACCTTGAATCGCGGGATGGTGTTTGGGAGAAATGCTGAAATAAAATTCCTAAAATCAGATTGACATAGTGGCTGCGAGTTTTGCATATTGTTTATTCTGCCCTGTTGTTTCCACGTGTCGTCACTGCGAGTTCCACCAGACCTATTTCTGGAGTTCCCTCTTTTTTTTTTTTTATCCCAAGTCCATATTTGGGAGATGACGTATCGGGACACCCAGAGATTCCCTTTATAACCATAGTGCATCACCCAGGAGCTGTTACCAGAGATGAGAGGCTGAACAGACAAAATGAGGGAAAGTACTCCTAATGTCTGAGTCTGTCGGGCAGCGAACCGAGGAAACATCATTAGTCTCCGACTCAAAGACAGAATGACTGCTAAACTGGCTGATGAGGTTTCTGCGTCTATCGGCAGCATTGCAGATAGTCTCTCTAAGGATGTGCACACAGCGGAGGGGGGGTTGTCCCCACACACGTCGATTGTTTTTAAAGAAGAGGTTGTAGAGGGGGAAGAGCATGAAGGGAAGCCTGATGAGGATGAAGGCGGTAAGAATGTGTGTTGTTTTCTCCACTGGATGGAGAAAATTCAGCATTTTCACCTTGAGTGGAAAGAAATGTTTTAATAATATCGGTAATAAAGTCAAACAATCATCTTTGTTCTGAAACGTGTCAGGCCTGCCATGACAACCACGTCATCACATGAAAGGGTTAATGTGTCTCTGTTCCCACTGAATGTCTTTCTAACCCAGTGTTTTTACACTTTCAGGTGATCTTCTGTTCGAGGAGAAGATCGCACCTGAGCTGCCGCTCCAAGGCTATCTGGCGCAGTACGTGGCAACTTTACGCACGCACCCCGTGGCGTTTACTGGCAAGTTCTCTGTGGACTCCAGAGGTACAGGAGGACCGTGGACACCGGGGGACGTCATCAACGTGGTCAGTGCTGACATCGCCACCCCGGGCCCGGCCAAGGTGTCTGGATCACCGTCACCAACACCTGATATTTACGCAGGAGGAGGAGACGCACCGGACGCTGGGGACGATACCATGGCGCACGGCCAGCCCGACATGAGCCATATGTATGCGCCCCCTCATCCTCACCCCCACCCTCAGCAGGCCCCTTCCTACTCCTGCAGCGGAGACATGTACCAGGACCAGACGGCAGGTGGATACCTGGCGACGTCCACCTGCGCCGTGTCCTATCACCCGCCCCCGTCCTACAACTCTGCGCCCAAACCAACGGTGGACGGCGCCGCGCTGCTCTCCATCATGCCTGAGTACGGAGGCTTCTACCAGCAGAGCTGCCAGAGAGACATCCAGACGACTTTCCCGGAGAGGAAATCCCTCCCGTACCCGCTGGACTCCCTCAGGGTGCCCCCGCCTCTCACGCCTCTCAACACCATAATGAACTTGGAACTTTACGCTCGGTGCACCTTCGCCGGCCGCCGAGGGTCCGATGGCCGCCGCGTTCCCTAGCCACCAGAACCTTCCACTCCGGCCGATCCTAAGACCCAGGAAGTATCCGAATCGGCCGAGCAAGACGCCCGTGCACCAAAGGCCGTACCCGTGCCCAGCGGAGAGCTGCGACCGCAGGTTCTCCCGGTCGGATGAGCTGAGCAGGCACCTGCGCATCCACACTGGACACAAACCCTTCCAGTGCCGCATCTGCATGAGGAACTTCAGCCGCAGCGACCACCTCACCACCCACATCCGCACGCACACCGGGGAGAAGCCCTTCTCCTGCGACCAGTGCGGGAGGAAGTTCGCCAGGAGTGACGAGAGGAGGCGGCACATGAAGATTCACCTCCGGCAGAAGGAGAAAAAGTCCTCTACGTCCTAATCCTCACCGCGCACGACCGATATGCTGCTGAATGTAAGCTTTGTGAATGTGAACACAAGTTGTATGGACTCCTGCCGCATCCTGCCTGTCAGCAGAGCCCAAGGTTTATCTTGTGGTTCATAGTCTTGTCACTGAGACGGAAGAAATCTCTTTAGGAGCCATGGCTCCTAAAGATCAGGGAGAATCCGGACCAGTGATGTGTTTGGTCGCCTTCATTAATCATCAATCAGTGGTCCAGATTATTAACAGAAATGCATGACCACTCATACCGACTATTGTGGCGCTAATAATTCTATTAAATGTAAAGGGATTTTGGTTAACAGATGGTCTCAGTGTGCCAGTGCTCTCTACACAAGCTGTGTCACCGTACTGCAGCCTGTGTTAGTGCTCTGTGGCAAGGCACCGTGTCTGCTGTCTGTGCGCATGCTCTCAGGGATTCAGTGACACGTCAGGCTGCAAAGGTGAAGCCAAAATCCTGCAAGTCAGCTGAGTGTGAGTGATACAGGAGCCCCTAGGAGCATCGGGCCAGCTGTGCACATCTGGTTTCAACTGCAGTTAAATGCACAAAACCTGTTCATGTCAGAAGAACACAGTGAGTCACAGTGGGGTCAGCTTTGGAGCCACACTTTGTGCACTTACTGTTCGTTAGACTGTAGATTCACCTGAAAACTACAAGAATTACTCTGTAACATTTTTGGTCTTGCAGTGAGGAAACTCCATCATCCATCTAAATTCTAATTTATGGTGATAAATCCTGACTTTCTCTGCTCTGCCACATCATGCATGTTGAAGAAATATCATTTAAAAGAAGATTTGAGGGGTTTACAGGAGACACTTTGAGTTGATGTACAGACTGAATATGAACTAATGCCAAACGTCTTCATTAACGGCCCGTTTTATGGTTCTATGGAATCTAAAATAAATCTCAAACATTTCTAAAGGTCAGTGAAAGACAACAACAGGCACCAGACAGTGGCTGTTTCAGTTTGTTGGAGACAAGAGGCGAACGCGGGTGATGTCACAGTGATGTCAGAACACACGGTGTGATGTCACAGCGCAGGCCGAGGCTACATGAAGATATTAGTAGCCTGGTTTTGTATCATATTAGAAACATTAAAATGATGACATCAATCACTATGTTTCATTTACATAAGGAAGAGCTGACTTTGGGTTATACACCATTTGCACAGAGCACATGGAACTTGGTCGGGATGTTACGAGACTGCAGCCTGGTAATCTGTTGCTTTATTCCTGGGTGTTTTCAGGTGTACTCACACCTGTGGACAGTGTAAAGATCCGAGCAGCATTTCTAGCTGATGAATGTGAGCTAGAGAGAACGAGAGAGAGTCACTGGACCAATAAAAGTTCTGGTTTTGTGTTTTATCATTTTTATGCAAACAGGTCGAGCAGTAAAGTGTTTACTCTGCTGGACTGATGCTTCACGCTGATGCAAATAAATGTTGACTTGTTGGGTTGTGGCTGCCTGTCGTTGCTGTTCTTTCTTTTGGCCCAGTTTGTTGCAGTTTCTCACTGTATCACATGACCTCCATCGGTATCTGGTTGTTGTGGAAACAGGTTTAAATTTCCATGTTGTAGAATGTGGACACCTTTTCTCTTTGAGTTGAATTTTTACTTCTCCAGTTCTCACGCCTTTCCAGGGTCCCAATGCCAACACAGTGACTCCACCAGGAAACACTCCTAACATAAAACTACCAGCTGATGTAGTTAACAGCATGAGGAAGACGTTCAGCCGCTGCCTGCAGGAGGAACTCAGCTGGTTTCCATGCTAATGCTAACTTCCATATTTGCTTCATCAGCCTGAGACGCCTCGCTGCGTCACCAGGTTTGTCCACAAAAGGCCAAACTCCCCATTCTGCTGCTCTGAGCTTCTCCAAATAACAAAGTTCATCTTCTGAGTCATTCATGAATTCATTCACACTTTAATGTTTACCCAACACTTCCTGTAGATGTTTCACATTAAAAAGCCCTCCAAGAACTAATGGGGGCTTTTATTGTGAAACAGACGTAGTTTTATGTTTGTATTAAGAGAAGACATCATGAACAAGGGGATTTCTGCTGATATGATCCAAACATAAAGCAGTTACAAACGGCTTCCTCCATTACAACACTAACAAACTAAGTTCATCAAAAAGCTGAATCACCTCTGGACACCGACCTGCTCTGTGAAAGAGACTCGGTCTAATGCACTGTCCAACGTGAGACCAACACACAGCTGTCTTCATCACGCTGCTGACCTCAACGTTTTATTCAAAGTACACAAATGTTCAGGCGTGAACCTGATCTGAGAATCAAGCTGCTTTCTGGAACAGTCTTTCTACTATAAAATAACAGCGCAGCACATTTTGAAGCAGTTCAGGCAAAATAAAGGGCATGTTTTAAGTGAAGACACAGATTCTGTCCATTTAGCACCGACTCCAATAGGAGAAGCTGATTGTGGGTCCAGCCCTGGACGGCTCCCACAGAGGTTCACCACTCAAAGTCTGTTTATTCACTCAAATGAACTTGTTTAGCAAAGTTGGACACGTCAGTTTTTCTCATTTCTAAATATCAGTGATTTCAAATGCACCGTTTCATTGGGTCCCATTGTCCCAGACTTTGTGACCAGAAGTGTTTCTCTTTCCTTTGTCAGTGTTTGAATGAACCCTCCCACATGGACCCTGTTCATTTCCTGACGGCTCCAGTCTGAGCTGCTAATCACGTTTCACTGTTTACACTTTATTATATCACCTTGTATTTCTCATTAATTCCAACCTCAAACTGGGACGAAAACATTTAACATCCTTACTGTGTCATCACAGGCATTTTTTACATTGGCCAAATAATCAGAGCCAAGCAGCCACATTCACTGCACCTCTTTCAACCAACCTCCTGGAAAAGGGGTCATCACAAACAAAGTCCTGGGCAGCGTACGGGCTGTAAAGTCCTGATCACAACATGAGGAGAAAACTACACTTGTTTTATACTTGTGAGTCTTTAGCGGAGACCTGAAAAGCCACACTGCTCCATAACCGACTGGAACAAAGGCTGAAGCAGAAAGATGGTTACAACTGGGTCCCTCATGGGCCTCGGCTCAGGTCAACCCCGGGGGCTTTTAATGCTGCATTCAAGGTGCAGTCAGAAGCCTGGGATTCCCTGTGAGTAGATAACTCCAAACACTGTTTCAGGGCTGTAGCGTGGGAAAATATAGCATCCCTCACGCAACAGCTAACACGTGGAATAAAGACGACAGCTGTTAGTGTAACTGGAGATATTTATAGTGAGCTTTACCACCAGCAAGTGCCTTTAGACTGAGGGTCACTGAAAGCTGGAGTGTAGTGTTTAAAGTATTTGGAAACCTCCCTCAGATTTTCATTTGAAACAAACTGATCAAGCAGTTACACAAACCGTGCTGCGAGCAGAACATTCAGACTTCCAGACTTTTCACGAACACATCATCAGCACCCTGCACACCATCACTTTGTCATTTCTTGGCATCTCTCCTGCAAAAATACCTTCCGGGGTCTTATTTTAGTCCATTGTTCAGGCTGGTTTCAACTCCCGTTTTGGTGCTTTTCAGTTTTTAACCCTTTGAGGTGAAGGACGACCTCCTCCACACTGAATTAAATTAGAAGTGCAACTGAAGTTTTCAGAGTTTCTGAATAGTGCATTTTAGGAGACAAAGGCTTTCATCATGTGACCTCGGCAGGAATCAGAGCTCTGACTCTGGCTGTTATTTATTTTCTGTACCAAATGGGCATCACATGAAGACGTATAATCTGCCCCAGCTGACCCCACACTCTTCTGGGACAAATCCTGTCAGACTGTGCTCTTTCTCTGGTTACACTGGCTATAATACCTTGAACTGCAGCTGCCCCTAAACTCAGAGACTCAAGGGTCTCTCCCACAGGGTCTACAGGACATCTGAGAGACTGCTGCAACTTCAGGGGGAAGACGACACTGCCAAAATGGACATTGGTAACATCAGAGAATTAAAAATGCATCACGAATATCTGAAATCTGTCACCCAGTGTCCCTACAGTAAAGAGAAGCAGTAAGCACATAGGGGCAGTGAAACGGGGAAAGAGGGTAAAATGATCTGCCTTTCATCTCTTGTATCATTTCTCTTAAGGAACAGTTACATTCTTGGTCACAAATAAAACCCAACGTTAACCCTTAAACTCATAATGGCCTCACAGGCTCCTCACAAATGGGTTAAAGACTTAGTGACCCTTCATTCAGCCCAGTTTGTCCAAGTCCACGAGCCCGGCCTTGTGCCACTGCAGGGCGCGTAAGCCTGCCCAGCACGAGAACAGAAGACATTTTGCGGCTGCAGGTCAGTGAGATGGATCAGAGGCGCACCTCCGGGCCCGGGTAGGGCTCCCCTCCGCACCAGAAATCCGAGGGCTGTGAGATCTCCGTGAGCCAGACCTCCTTCTCCTTCTGCTCTGTGCTTTTAGCCTCCGCTTCTGTCAAAACCCGGTAATAGTGGCAGTCTCTGCCGTCGTCCGGGTCGTAAGGTGGAGCCAGGATGTCCATGAACGCCGTCGGGCCGTCCACGGCGTCGATCTGGTGGAGGTTGTCCTGGTCAGGGGAGAGAACGCACGGACCGCTCTCCTCCGTGTACTCCCCGGTGGAGCGGCGCATGGAGCGCCGCAGAGCGCCCACCTGGCCCGGTGGGAGCGGAGGCGACGCCTGGGTGCCGCCTGTCGGCCGCCCCAGCCCGATGCCGTGCATCCCCGGGTGGTCGTGCAGTGGGATGGAGGCACCACTTTTGAGCAGAAACACCCCCATGCTGAACTGGTCCGTCTCGCAGATGTGCATGTAGGTGACCGGGGGCGCGCCGTGCTGGTGCGGGGGCACGCCAGACGAGCTGTCGTCGGCTTTCCGCGGGACAAGCTTCAGGTCCGTCGCTCGCACTTCCGTCATCAGGCTCTTCAGTTTGCTGTGGTTCTCCAAGAAAGATTTGCCGACCTCCTCACCGACCCGGGGCGGATTCCTGAAGGTGACGAGAGCCTGCCGAGCTATTCTCTGGACGATGGAGGTCATGCTGCTGTCACCTAGCATCATACCGACGGAGGAACGGGACTGCCTGGAGTCCGCTTCGCTCAACGACAGTAGCCCTTTAGCTAGCGCAAAAGATCGTCTATCAGCAAGATGACTCACCCCACACAGATTCTTCCTCTGTTTTGAACCCAATGTGAACGAACATTAAATCAGTTTTTCGTTTTTATACAAATATATAATAGTAATATTAGATAATTTTGTCTTTTTTTACACTGGCGAAAACCAGTATTCATCTAACAACTTCAGCCTAACACATTCAAATAAATAATAATAAATTGCGTACGTTTTATTCACACTTGTTTTTTAATGTTAATTTTTTTTTTTACCTGATACAGACCTTAAACAATTTTAATATGTTATAAACTGTATATTATCTTAAAACAGATGTAAATCTTGTCTACAAAGTTTTTTATTCACAAAGATACCTAAGGATGGATTAATTACTGTAAAAGCCCAGGGGTCTCACGGAGTAGGGTGCCCAGGGCCAGAACCTCTGTAGGAATCTACTTGATCTTTCTTTTTGCAGAGTCGATCAAATAAACACAAAGAGTTGCAAAACTACCACGGAGACACAAAATAAAAAAAAGATCCAAAACAAGCACAAAGAGGCATATATGAGACACAAAACGAGTAAAAATAGATGCCTAATGACCAAAATAGAGTTGCAAAACATTCACAATGCAAGAGAAATCCAAAAAGATGTAGAATTATCACACAGGGTCACAAATCAAATATGAATGAAGAGTGACTACAACCTAAAACAAGGCCAGATGCAAAACGTTGGTAATGTAAAAACAGAATAAAAAACTAAAATGACCACAAGTCTCTTTGAATCTACGGGAGTGATAACTCTTCCATTTTTCGTCTCTTTGGTCAGCCTAACACCACGTTCATTGCCCACTTGCCCTGTTTCCGCTCACGAGTTCTTTCTTTCCTGTATTTTGCTAATGACGTGAGGATTTTAATGTAGAGAAATAACACAACAAATACGCCAATATATAAATCTGCAGAGGCGACATTCAGCTGGGATTTGAAATTATCAACTTCAGCACCCCATTTTCGAATAACTGTCAAACACGTCCGCAGCAGACGGCGGCTAGGTTTACAGCTCGTGCATTGTGGGACATGTAGTCATCCGGGCCACCGCTACTGTGCTCAGTCATGAAAAATAATGTTTAATTCAAATATTAACCAAGCAGAGTTGTTATCGATGTCACATTTATTCGTATAATCGCAATAGCCATACTGTGAATTATTGTGTTACTTTAAAGCTCGACTCATTGCAAAGAGGATGAACTACAAACGCCAACTACCCAACATGCCAAAGGATACTTAACTTTGACTGAGCCAGTTAGTCAAATGCAGATAGTGAACTTATGTAATCAACGTTCGGCTTGACATTCACACTCAGTTAATATTTCAAACACACGCATAGGACTCATTCAGTTAATATTTCAAACACACGCATAGATAAAGTGTTAAAAATATGACTATTACAACTCACAATCCCAGATTTGGAGGTAAACGAATGTCCCCCCAATTCACAGCATTTATGATTACTCTCACACTGAGCAGCTCTAAAATATGGCTTCAGTGGACATAAATAAACAAATGGTTGTTTGTTTCAGCTCTTATACATACTCAGGACATTTTACGTGTCTGATCAGATGTTTGCTACAGCAATGCTTTGACATTTTTCACTAAAGCCGATGCTTTTAGCTTCTAGACGTTTGTATCTTCAAAACATCATCATCATATGTTGGAAGGAAACTGCTCAGCTGTTGGTGGCAGCTTTGCCATCACAGCGATCCAGCTGGAGCTTCAGTAAAACACAACACTATAAAAACAGCTGAATTGTTGTTTCATCATCAGTAAGAAACACACTTTTGTCCCCACAAGGCCAACAATGAATCACGTATGTGAGCGTGACTCACGTACATGAGGCACCCGTGAGGCGTTTCATTAGAAAGACGTAGGCAGTTAATTTACACGTCTTTCTCCAGGGAAACACCCGCCCACACATATATGCTCACAAAAAGAGCGAGATGAAATTTGTTTGGCGGCTTTGTGTTTATTGCCGAGATCAAAGCAAAGACAAACCGGAAGCGATGGGGGGGTGATGTGACTTGAGACCCCGAGTGACCATTTGTTTCATGTTTGTTGTCTTGATTGATTTTACTTGTGAAAAAGGACACAACACATCTCCAGTCACCCACAGCTGCTCTAGCTGTTCTGTACCTCATGTCCAGTACAAATGTCACAAACCTTGACTTTCACTGTGCTGGGCAGGTGTGTTGTGTTTAAGTACACTGCAATGTTGCTGATCTATGACAGAAGCCAGGGATGTTTACAGCAACAGCAGCATACTCTGAACGCTAACCTGTAGCCACGATTACTGGTCAGTTGTTGCAGAACAAAGGTCTCAGTATGTCTGAATAAACCGTGAGAGTGTTACGCACTTATGTCTAAATAGAAAAGTGTATATAGGTGTTCAGAAAGGCCACTTGAAGGTGTTGTGAAAGCCTGCCATCATAGAGGGGGGTGCAATGCAATGGATTCTACAAGCAGTCACTCCTCAAGCCCCAGTGTGTAGCTGAGTACAACCTCAGAGCCTACATGTAGCTGCTGTACGTTTGGTGTGGCCGCTTGATGCAGACATGTAAGTCCAACTTTAGGCTCTGGGGCACTTGAATTCAGAATATGGGACTTCCTCCTGCCCACTAAGCCACCAGGACACCCTCATGTTGACTTTTAATAGCGACAATAAAAACATTATTTGCACTGAGGCTGTGTGAGTGAACTTGTAGTGATCATGAGGACACAACCAGCTCCATCACCCGCTCCCACACAGCTCACCTCGTCCTACATCTGAAATCAGTTTGACACCCACCTACTCACAATGTGACACGATGTGAGGCCTCATTTGTACGCCAGAAATACTCCCTAGTGTGTGTGTGTGTGTGTGGTCAGCGCATGATGTTGAAATTCTCTTGAAGCATCATGTTTTTATTAGGAAGTGAAGGCAGGCTGAAAATAGACGCCGTGATTCAGAGCTCAGGCGGTTTTAGCCCTGATGTGGAGCCAAACTGTGGAAGCCCTGTGTGGGTCGTCTTCCAAATCAAACAAACAGGCCTGTGCCCTGCACACAGTAGAACCAATCAATAAACCAATGAAGCCCCAAAGTACAGAGCAAATGTGGATTTCAGCTGCTTTTGTCTGCAGACTCACCAAGGCAACCAGGTTTAACAAGCATTTAGGAGCCTGAGTGTTAAGTAACCCTGAACTGGGTGCTGCTGCAGCTGGTTTTTTTATGTATCAGTAAAGACACTTCAGATCACCGAGCACATCAGCCTCTTCGTTCCGTTTCTGCTCATCCTCCTCAGCAAGCAGCGGCTTCATCCCTCCTGACCACCACAGAGATCAGGAGAATCAGTGTTTGTAAAAAGAACCATGGCTAATGTGGGGTTTGCGTGCCATTGTCCCTCAGACACTTCAACTTGAGTGGATCCAAATGTGTTTGGTGACAGAGGCTGTAGTCCACTGGGTATAGACAGGAAACGGGATCAGAAGGCCAGAGAATCCCACAGGAAACCTTCAGACGCAACCAGCGGCATCACACACGACCCTAAGTTTTACTGTGGAAGGAGATGAGGAAGTGGGGTGAACTGATCGTTGAGCCACCAATGACACCAGTACTGGTGGTTTTACAGTATTTTCTGTGTAGAAACTGGTCAACATCCTGCAGCTAATACTGTGAACAGCACAATAATTTCTGCTTTATCTGTCAGTCATGCAAATCAGAAATCCAAGCCCCCCAAAAAGCTTCTCCAAACAGCTTCCTCCAGTGTTTTCTGGGTAAAACACCAGCAGCTTCTTCCCCCTACTCGTACAACAGTCACCCAGCTTTGTGTCTGATCTCTTTTTGCTGCGTCTCTGCTTGCACGAGTCTGTTATCTGCGGCCCACATGGCCTCAGACTGTGGACGGCCTGCAGGGTGACAATCTGCAGATGCTCACACTGATACGGCCGCGTGACGGTGTCACAAAACAGTTTGCGGAGACTGCACGACGTCAAAGTGATGACGGCCGAGCGTGTGGACCCAGAGTGTTGGTGACGTCAAAGCGTTGTGTTATCGTGTTTACTCTCGCCGTGAAAGCTCAACACCAGCCTGCAGTATTTATTGACATGCTGTGATGAAGTTAGGAACCATAACATAACAAGCCTTTGACATTCTGTACCAACCTCAGGTTCATCCCCCAGATATTTTCCCATTAGGTCAGAAAAGAAAAGGCAGAAATTAAAGCATGTGTGCTACAGGCGAAGCGTGTTGGTACTGTCGGTATCACTGATGTACACATGTGTCAGCTGTGCTTTAACGATGTATGTGGTGGAGGTGCAGCTACGTTTAAGGACTTCATATAGTGCTGGGTAGGTTATAATCCCAGAGTAAAATATGGTGCATCTAATAAAATGCACATAATGATCATATGGAAGATAAGTGAAGTAACCAATAACTGTAGCTGTGATATAAAAAGCACAACATTTCCCTCTTACTCCAGCTATGTAAAGGACCTGAAAACTGTGCTTAAGTACAGTACTTTTGTTACTTTCTGCCACAGTGGATGGGAACCAGGCCAGTTTGGAGATAGTAGAGATAGTAGACAGGAAAGTCTTTTGCTTTGTGAGTGAAAACCACCTAAGAGGACTTATTAAAAAGTGTCCAACAGAAGACCAAGGTGAAGCAGAGGAGACAGAGGAGCCACTCTGGAGTTACAGCACCTGACCTACAGGTGTGAACTGTATTCTTGTTTTCTTGTTTTCTGCAGCTAAAATGCAATTTCAGGCTAAAGTTCTGGGTGACGAAGGACAATTTAGACACAAGAGCTAAAGGAAAACTGGATTTTGGCAGAAGTGAAACACTTATTATTCATGTGCAACCATTCTGACTGTTGTTTATTCATCATTTAACCAGGCTGAGATGCTAAACGTTCTGATTTCAGCTTGTCCACTGTGAGGATTTGTAGTTTTCATCACTGTAAACTGGATATCTTCATGTTTAAGTCAACTGGTTGAACAAAGTCAATTGTCTTTCTTCAACAAACAGCTCCCAAGGCTAAGAACGGCTGAAGCGGACAGTCGCTGATCTCTGCTCTGTTTA